ACACGTTGGCTCCAAGATATGAATTTTACGTTCTCGTGGCAAGAACAATATCTCACGAGTGAGCTTCGCTCACTTGTGAGATATTGTTCTTGCCACTCGAACATAAAATTCATATCTTCTCGCCACCGTGTAATATACTTATATAATATACCGTGTATGTACTTACCGGTAAATAAAACGGTTATGACATAAATTGCTAGATAACAGTCTTGTGTGAGTGCTCCTCTACTGATGAGATAAACATCTGTACTAGAAATTATTATTAATAAGCATTTAATTTTCCTCTGGTCAGCAAATCAGCTAGCAGAATTTGAAGAGGAATGATTTAACAATGGTAGGGAAAGGTAATGTCTGCATATGACCTATAGGCAGGAGCTTATCCCAGCTTCTGTAGCATGAAGCAACTAGGAGTAGTTCTACTCCCCTCTGGAGGGAATGCTAGTCCATTGCAAAGTTACCCCCTGGCATTAAATTCACCAGTACCCATTTATACACCTGGATAGAGAGAGGCACTGTGAGAGTAAAGTGTCTTGTCCAAGAACACAATACAATGTCCTGGCTAGGGCTCGAAACCAGACCACTTGATCCGGAGTTGAGTGCACTAACCATGAGGCCACCACGCCTCCTAGTTTATTTAAAACATAATGCACTCTACCTGTTTACTTGTTACCATATAGCTACCATATGATTAAAATAACTGAATGCAGCTTGTTTTACGGCAGGACTGTCCGTGTGTGGAATTCAGACAATGGTAAGCTGATCCACACAATGACTGGCCATTCAGATGAAATACAGGTGACCCAAATAATTTATTAACAATTTATTGATAACCAATCAATAACTTAAGATTAAATACTGTTTCAAATTTTCATCACATTCTCAGATTTATTTTCGTCATATCTGTTCTGGCAGTTTTGTTGTTGACTTTGAAGAAATTACTTTCACCAGTAGCCTCTAGTCTCATCAGAACAATTAAATTTTCCACTGCTGGGTGTCTTTATTCTTTAAGGTAGAGCAAAGAGAGGGTGAAATGTAAGAGATTTAACTCTCCATGTTCACCGTAGGCCTCATTCTTAAGGTTATCATTCTCAAGTTATTTTTAGATATGGTACCCAGTTCTCCCTCAGACCGCCTGTTGATGTTTGTCGTGGAATTCAAACGAATATGCTTACACTTGGACAGGCTATTTCTGGACCTCCTTGGATTTCTGAAGTCGAGAGTGACCTAAAATAAGTTGAGAGAGATTACCTTGGGAATGAGCCCCACTGATTCCTGGGACATGTTAACATGCAGAGTATCCGAGCATATTACGTTGTGCCATCCCGGTTTGACCAGTTATTTGATAGGGAAAGTGGAGCAATGAGAGTCTACAGGTATTAATTACAAGAGTTAAACATTGGATACTCTCACTAAGGAAATGGGTGCAATAATAACAGCGAAATAACACAGTGGAACTCATTTATTTGGATGGTTTCATCACGTTGAACTTGCCCTAACCAATCAGGACGTTACTTGTCAGGTATTGGTTAGACGTGATGACCTCGTAATTACTACGTCATGGGATGAGACCATACGGATGTGGAGCGTGACGTCAGGCACATGTCTCTTGACTCTCAGAGGTCACACGGAAGGTACGCAACGTAAACGTAAACGCACAAGGCAGTCAGTTAGTCAGTCAGTCAGTCAGTTAGTCAGTCCTTTCAGTCAGTCAGTCTGTCAGTTAGTCAAGTCAGTCAGTCAGTCAGTCAGTCAAGTCAGTCAGTCAGTCAGTCAGTCAGTCAAGTCAGTTAGTCAGTCAATCAAGTCAGTCAGTCAGTCAGTCAGTCAGTCAAGTCAGTCAGTCAGTCAGTCACTCACTCACTCAGTCGCTAGGGCGCAAACAATTTTTTGACGTTAGTATAGTTATTTAACCTTTAGTCGTATCTATAACAAAATTCTCGGTCGTGATTAGTTCTCTGAGCACCTATTTATCACGTAATCGGTGCGCGATCACGTGGGTGTCGAGTTACAGGTATCCAATTACAATTTTTTGTAATTGGATACCTGTAACTGGATACCTGATGGCTTCCTTATTAATGTTTCCTGCAGTTTTTAAAACTAATGGAAAGCACTACTAACTTCTTCGTTAAAAAGAAGTTCTCAAATGACTTTCTAATTTCAAAGTTTGTTATAGATACGAGCAATTAGTAACTGGACTTCGTGTCGTACAATTGAGGGAGTAATCGTGCTCGTACTTTCAAATCGGCCTCGCGCTTTGCGCTCGTCCTATTTTGAAATTACTCTTGCGATTCCTCACAACATCAAGTTAATAACCAACCTAGCTGTACAACAAATATGTTTTGACTTGTAACGATTTCCATATTTGGTGTCTATTTTGACTGACAGCTGTTTACTGTTGTGACTTTAACGGCAAGAAGATCATCAGTGGGGGTGGGGACGGGCTGATTAAGATCTGGGATGCTCATACTGGAGACAATACGTATTCTTTGGTTGGACACACAGGAGAGGTGGTACGTGTTGCACGAAGTGTCCCTCAGTGTTGATGTAATCGTATGTTATTACGTATAGGTGAGAGCTTTATTATCCTACAAAGGAAGAGAAAAAAACAAAAAACAAAACAAAACAAAAAAAAACACTCCAAATGTGGTGAAAGGAAAGAAATATCAGTTAAAGTGAAAAATATATATAATAAGTGATTGAAAGATTTGAAACTTCACCAGAACAACTATTTTGCCTGATTTCTTACGTCCTTTCAGAAAATCAAATTTGATGAACTGTGATCCACCTCCATACCGTTTAATGCATCATCCATGAAGAAATTTTCACTCTGGTCGAACTGCATGGAATACAAAAGAAATGTAGTGTGAACGAAAACAAAAATAAAATATAAGGCAATTCGAAATTTTTTTCCCCCAGNCCCCCCCCCCCCCCCCCAAATTCTTCCATTTTGCTTTGTAGAATCTTCTTATCCAAACGTAAGCATTATGGATTTAACAATATCCAAGAATTCTACGTTTTCGACTCCCAAAACTGCCGCAATATTAGCCAGTCATTGTTTCCGGTGAGTATGTTACCATCCATATTGATTAAAACTCGTTGGGTGTCTTTCTATTCAGTATTGTTTGCAGTTTAATGATGACATCGTCGCGTCTGGCTCGGCAGACAGCACTGTGCGACTATGGAGCCATCAAGGTATGTGATATCTCTATTAACGGCTTTACACTGACTTCTTGTTTCCTCAACATGTCCGATGTATTACATCGTATTACATATTTGTAATAATCTACAGTGTAGCTATGACGTGTCTCCTCTATACTGGGCGTGCTGGGTGTACGTCCGCGTGATTTCCGCCCTTGTCTCCCTTCTCTCGGGTCCGGTTACCCAGGGTATTCCCCGAGAAGGACTTCGCGGGGTGGAGCGCGGGCTCATTTTCTCGAACTGCGATAATTGAACATAACGTCCGACCGGAGTGCGCAAGATCATGATCTCGGCTACAAATTATTAGATTAGTAGAGTGAACTCTCTCTGAGACGAGCATTACACGAACGAGTGAAACTCAGTCTGACCAACCAGCCAGCTGTGCCTGCCTCGAAGAGGTGTCTGTCTTTACAGTAGTGTCCGCTTTGAGAGAGTCGACTGTACTCCATCACTTTGTCCAATGCTTTGAATTCATCGTCATTAAATCCTCACAGGTGTTCTGCTTCACACACTGGAGGAGCATATCGGTGTTGTACGGTGTCTGTGTCTCAGAGGAAATCGACTCATTTCCGGTGGAGACCGGAAACGCATTGCAGTCTGGGATGTGAAGGTTTGTGAAGGAAGCTTAGAGCCTATCACCAGGAGATTATTCCAGCGTAATTAGAAGTTTGAAGAGGTCAAATCACACTTAACTTATTCTAAGCTTGTCTTTAGAATTGCAAAATGGTATTTCAAAGTGCACACAGAAAGTAGAAACAAAATTTTAATGAAACTCATCTTTATTCAATTGCTAAAATACTAAAAGAAGACGCGCCCATGAGGGAGGGAGGAAGGTATGGAGGGAGGGAGGAAAGAGCATATTAAGCAAATTTGACAATTGACAGCTACCATAACATAGCTTCGAAAAATACATAGATACCAAAAATACAAAGATACCAATTGACTTTTGCCAATTAAAGCTTGGTTGTTCCTTCAGAGGTATGTACTCAATTTGCGTTACAACCGGTGAAAACGAACGTGGCGGCTTTACTTTGTCCACAGGAAGGCCAGCTGTTGAGTGTGCTACACCGTAACCCAACCTTACTCCACATCATGTGGGCTGACGACACCAAGCTTATCACAGCGTCACCTGACACGCCAGGGACAATAACAATCATCAACTACTGGTAGGCTTAGTCAAGGTATGAGTGTGCACGGAGATAGCACGTGAGCATCACGATTCATGCACGCGCCGAAACTGGGAGAATTGTTTGTAGTGGTGACACTTCAGGTACCAAAACCACTGAACCATCCTCGCTGGTTAACAAAAAAGGGAATGAAAGAAAGTAATCGAGCGTTCTCTTTTTGCGAGCACACAGTTTGGGTTAGCAGGGCACGCTGGCTTCCTTGGGAGCGTGCTTGATACAATTGTACATATCTCGTGTGAGCAAATACAAGTGTGCAGCAAATATGGTGGCAACAAGTCTTACTTAAAACAGCGTCAGCAAAACGTCCAAATGGGCTGAACACAGAGCTTTGTAGCTCAGATGGAAGCTAGTGTCTGTTTTTACAAATTCTGATGATTAACAAGGTTTAAGCCTGGGCTGAACTGGACCAAAGTGAAATGCACCTCTCCAAACACATTTGCATGAAAGAGGGTGATAGAATAAGTTACTGAATTCAGAACTGAACGAACTTGAACATGGCTTGAATACACTGAACTATCTAGCGTTGATGGAAGCTAGTGTCTTCTGTTACAAACAGTTGTGTGTATAAAAGGAATGCGGAAAGTTTCAACCTTGGATTGGACACGATGGAGTATCACCCCTTTAAAGACACCAGAATCCGACAACTTTTGACAGCGTTGAGAATGTGACAAAAGGTAATTTATAGCATGGGACGAGAGTCGTTCAAACAGCCAAACTTCATTCTGCCAGGAAAATTGACAATGTGCTTAGTTATTGCTGTTCGCATCCGATTTAGAGTTGAACTGAATGTACTGTCAACCCCCACCTATAAGAACCTAGTTTTTTAAATTATTTTGAAATAGGTTGTGATATGTGTGGTGTCTACTGAAAATTTAGGATAGTTAGGTTCTTAGATAGGTTCTTAGCTTCTTGTGTTGAAAATATGCTTACTGCATATCAAAATGGGTGTGGTCCTTCCTCACTTACGAGTGACATTATGTCGAAAGCCAAACGTAAGACTACATATTAAGACAATACAGTATAACACACCCTGTTATAGATTCCCAGAATTTACTTGTATTCTTTATTCTTGATATACTGCAACTTATTTCCCAGATAGGACCATGTTTGACTTGTACATAATGGGGTTTTCAATGCCAAAGTTGTAACCTATAGGTTGTTAACAATCACTGTTTTCTTGTACGTGTGTGTTGTCTATATTTTTACGTAAATCGGCCAAATACAGATATGCGTTTGTCAGAGCGTTAGTGAAGGCTCTGTCAAATTAGTTTTGTGGTAAAAAATTTGCAGTGAAATGGTGCAAGTTGTGTTGAACTTAGATCTTCTGAATTGCCCGACAAACGAATGGTCCGAGAATGAACTCTAAAACCCGTTCGTCTCCGTCACGTCTGTACATCAGTCTTATTTGAGATATGAAAGGATTTTGTCCGACTACCGTTGTGTAGATTTAGGAGGAACGTTATTATAATTAAAAACAGCAACAACGCGTTAGTGTTGTGAAGATAATCTTACTCTTTATTACAACAGTGACCTTACTTGTAGTACTTGTTAGATTAATAAACCACTGACTAAGTTTTGACAATATAACTTGAACAAATATCAGTAGGGTTAGACTGTTCACAACCCTCTATTTTCTCGTATTTTTATTCGATCGTTGAATGCGCGGATAGAATCGCGAGACAATTGGACGCCAGCGCAAAACGGGAGACTTGATTGGCAGAGAGGCTGTGAACAGTCAAAACGGAGGTTTTCTGATCCTCTCTTTCCCAAGCTGGCCAAGCTTAGGAATATACTTCCAGCATACAGACGATGCGCCCAGAACACCATCATGGAAGTATTTGTACATGTAATTGGATCCGATGAAGGGAGAGCAGATTCTAATTAATTTTAAGACATTTTTCAAAGACGTGACCGAATTTAAATACGTCTGCACGACGTTTACAATATGAGATTAAAATAAAATATAAATATAAATATCTTAATTAATTGAGCACTCCCACAATGAGGTTTTCTCGATGGAAACAATGGGATCAAAGAAAGAAACAAATGATAATGAATGAATATAACGTGGTTACAGATTCCAGCTGACACGAGGTAGACCAGCTAAACAACAGAGTGTTTCTGTCGAGGAACTATCGGCTGATAGTCGCCCCGCGGAAATTTGCTGTTCTTAAAAACTATTATTTGTCCGAGAAGCGAAGCTTCGAGGGCAAATTTGCCAGTTTTAAGAACATCAAATTTCCAAGGGGCCATTATCAGACCGATAGTTCCGAGAGCTAAACACTCTATTGTCTTTATTGTTCACCGCTAAATTTTCTTCCGCGCGGCATTTCAAAAATCATATTGAATTATTTTCAAGTGTTTTTAGTTGAAAGCCGAGAAAGCCAAATATAAATATGAAAAAGAAAACAGACAAACACCCACTTAACGCAATTCCAGTTTATTTTTATAAGACCGCTTGTTTATAGAAAAATGTTCACGGACGAGCACTATCCATCCGGGTAATTTCCTCGGATGGGCACCATGAGCTGACCCTATCGCGTCACGTGATCAATTTAAACCAATAAGAATTTAAGAAAATGTACACCAAAAATAAGCGCGGTCGAGGAGGTGAACTGGGAACTACGTATACCGAGACCAGTGACCTCTAGATTTTAATTCCATTACTCAAACTACTGCGTAGACCGGGAGCATTCTCTGCGTTTTCCCCGCGGATATTCAAGCAAAAACGAAACTGCTTGCAGTCTAACCATTGCACCACACTTCCTCTTATGAGGTTAAAACCTTTTAAGAGTAAAACGCAAAAATTCAACGTCACTTCTGCTTTTCGCTACGTGAATGTCAAATCGTGCAAGAGTTTTCGAGAGTAATGTGTAAGATGTAGGGCCTATGGTGAAAGGTTTTGTGCTAACGCAAAACCGTACACACAAAACCGCTTCATACAGAGATGCAATGGCGCTTAGACACTTCTCTCTCCGTCCTTTGCTCACTCTGAAATCTACTACTCTTAAGTTAAGGCCACATGAACCACTTTAGTCCTGTTCTGGCCCTAGGCCTTTCCAAAGATATCCAGAAGTGTAGCGGCTCTCGTAAGCTTGTAATTCTCTTCATCGTTAGCAGCTGTTATTGTTTTAGGGCTAGGGGCATTGTTTCTGTTGTTTGTTCTATTGTTCTCTCAAAGGGTAGCAAGCCATTCATGTCAGACCTTACGAGAGCTGCTACATCACCCAAAACATCCGGATATTTTTTGACATATTTACAAGTTTCAGAGATATTTTGAAAATTTAAGGATATTTCAAATTATCATAGCTCTTTTTAGCTTAGCGCTTTTCTTTTTCTTGCTATTTTCTTGAAACAGTATGCAGTTCTATGCAAGAAACAATCCAGTTCAGCCATTTTCCACTCCAAAAATCTCTTCCATATCAATAGAAGCGCTAAAGCAGCAATTTTCCAAAATGGGGGATGCTGGTAACATCCAAGTGCCCGAATTTTCTTCCTCAACTCTTACTACTGCAATATAAATTTTGGCCTAAGTGATTGAAAATCGGTGCATTTTCCCGACAAAAAGACGAGATATTTAGAGGTCTTTTGAGGGTTTTTCGAGATATTCAGAAAACTTTTTGTGACATTTAGACAATTTTTTAAGAATTTCCGGGAAGATATTCAGGCGATTTTACGTGATATTTGTGTAAAGGCCTATCTGGCGCTCTCTCTGTCACGCAACGCTAGGGGGAAAGGGGCCCTCTCCCCCTAGCGTGGAGTGACATAGAGAGGGTCACAGCTGGACTAGAACCACTTTGGCTTGCACAAATGCATTCCGTGCTTTTCCGGTGCTTGGTTACAATAATAAAATCGAAACAAATGGCTACAGGATTCTGAGAAAAAAAAAGCAGAAAAGTAGTAGATACGCTTGCATTTCTGTTTCTAATTTAAGCTGCTATCAAAATCTATCAGCACGAATCCGTCACCAGTATTTACTTGATTACTTGGCTTCAACCCACCCGTGAAGAAGGATCCGCCCCCTCCTCCCTTAGCACCGAAGGATGACACCAAAACACCCCCTCCAGAATACCCACCTCCACCCCCTGGAAATTCGTTGTATGCCGCCCCACCCCCACCAAAACCCCCCGAACCATTTCCAGTACCTCCCAGACCACCCTTTAAATAAGACTCTCCAGCCTGGTGGCATTTACGCGGGAGGGTACACGAAATATTGTAACTGCACTTTCCGTTTCCTTTAAATCCGCCTCCTCCCCCTGCAGAGTTGTTTTCGTTGGCGCAAACATGCCCACCCTGACCATTTTTACCGCCATGCACGGTTCCGTTGCTGCCAATGTGGGCATTCGATCCATTTTCTGACGTAATCTGACCCCCTGCCCCACCTCCACCCCCAGCTGCTGCCAGAAGCGTATCATCGCTGTAAACTACGAATGTGCCACCACCACCTCCAGTTGCGGAAGATTCTTTAAGGCCTCTCTGACCAATCAGAAGGTGAAGTACAGTCCCCTTCGTAAGTCGAACAGTCCCCGTTATTATTGCTCCACGTCCCCCTATTACGAATAATGCGTCCTCGGCTGAAGACCCCGCCACGGTCATGGTATACAATGCAGTAAATGGAACCGTCCAGATTTGAATTCCTTTGTTGAGTGTAACTGCCCCACCTAGAGACGTGTCAGCGTACCCAGCGGTTGATACCGGTCCAGAATTGCCCGTCGTGCCAAGAGTGGTGAAGCGGTACGATATCGCTAAAGAAAAAAAAATACTTTAAGGGGAGATATATTAGATATTCTATGTTAGTTTCTTGTTGACTTTAGGCAAATATGTAACGAAATGTTCACGTTTCACAGAAATTCTTGATAGAATGGTAGAAAGCAACAATCATAGTTTTGTCAAATCTGCTGCAACATATTTTGATATTAATAATCTATCAACTATTTTCGTCTTGTGCGATTGGTCTAAACGCGTCACGTGACCGAACATTCCCCACCTAAAACCGGGAAATATCCTAGGTTATTCCCCAATTTTCAAAACTGCGCGTGTTGCGAAGAATATTTGAAGGATAATAAACACAATAGCCTCCAGTTTGCGCAAAACTATGCTCGAATATTTGTCCTTGGACGTTATCTGTTCCTCAAAGCTCAAAGTTCTCCTCGAGCTACGCTCTCGGAAAACTGTTCGCTTCTCGGAACAGATATTGTCCGCAGACAAATATCCGAGCATATTTTCGCGCCAAATAGAGGCTATTGTATATTTACTGTAGATACGAGTGTTTTACTGGAAAATACACCACGCGTAAACGTCATACGAATGTACATCCGGGACCCAAGTGGTGTATTTTCCAAGTCCTCACGAGATAGGATATTGATGTCATTTCCCGCTTTTTCACGGTTGTTGGCACATACATTCAGTAAAGATTCATGTCTATATAATTAAAAAAAGAAAAAAGAAAACATTCGTTAAATGTTGTTTCTACCAATTGAAAATAGCATTCACTTCTTTACGCCGCCGTGTGATATCAACTATTTATTATATACACACGAGTGCTTTACTGGAAAATACACCACTCGTAAATCAATTTTATACGAAAATACGTCCGGACCCTTTATGACGCATTTTCTAAATCCTCACTTGTGAAGATATCGAGGACGTCATCTCCCGCTTTTTCAGTCAGTCAGTTTGTTTACATAGTAATAAAAATTTACACGATGGCTTGAAAGTTTGAATTTTACTTTCTCGCTTTAAAAACAATATTTTACTCCCTTGCTGTGCTCATACGTAAATATTGTTTTTACCACGAGAACATAAAATTCATATTCTCGCGCCACCGTGTAATATCTTCTATACCGTATATTCGCTATCTGTTCATGGGTATGGATAAATTACCTGCAACCCTACTCACTTTCCGCCACAGACAAAAAGTGTCGTTTTACTTTTTGCGAATGATTTTTTATCCCACCAGTATCATAAACAAGAATTTCACACACTTAAAAGTACGCCGAAAGCTCAACCCCGTAGGCAATTGAAGTTAAGCACACTAAGGGACTGGTCAAAAAGTACAGGAGGTGAGGGGTGGGCCGGAGCATTTGAAAATGTCGTGGTTAGAAAACACCTGACCCACCCCTTCCATTTGGCACAAAACTGACAGACCCACCCCTAAATGAAGGTAGAAAATTACATGGCCCGCCCCCCATACAACATTACATTTTTGGTTGCATAATCCAACAAAATCTTATTTTGTGTATGAAATTGTGATGTTATTTACGTTTTAGATTTATTTCTTAACAAAAATACGAAATCACCTTGAAATAATATTGTTTTCCTTTACTCTTGCAAACTCTAAAAAAAGACTTCACCGTAAACCTTTTACACCTCGCTACGCGTGGAACAGTGATCCATCAAGAAAAAGGCTGTAGTTGAGTCCTGGGACTCACACAGCCAGTATACTACGAGTCCCAAAGAATATGAGTCCCAGATCCATGAATATGTGTCCTGTACTCTTAGGGACAAACAGCATGTAGACACAAGCTGGCCATTTGGTGGTCATGAAGACCAGCGTGTCGAAAGAGTGCAATATTTTGTAAATTTCTGCATTGGGACTCCTTGCTCATTCCGTTAGACTTCTTAGCTTTCGTACGGATTTGACAATACATGAAATTGTCAGAAATACACCAGCCAGAGATGAAAAATGTTTTGTCCTTTGGAACTGGAAGGGGTTACCTCTGTTGCTGCATGCCAATTAGGATGATACACCCCCATGAGTAGCTGAAAATTTAATGACCCATCCCTTACCAAGGGCTCAAAAACTGATGACCCACCCCCTCTCTGTTCCGGCCCACCCTCAGAGTCACCAGAACATGTAATTTTGGACCAACAAAGGCACGAGAGTTTTCCAGTTACTAATCATTACATCTCCCTGTCTATCAACCCAGTTATTTACTCTCGCTGAAGACAGAGAGAGTTTTTAGCTATAGATTGTGTAGCCCGAGGTTAAACTTAGGGTTTCTCACATCATTTGTAAGCTAGTACCTTTGACCTGCTCGCAATACATTCCAGAAAAAGGCGGCTCGCAGAGGCAAGCATATCGTCTATTGTCGTGGTCATAGTAACACTGCTCTCCATTACGGCATTGCCTTGAACAGGAAGCTTCCTGAAAGAACCACAAGACGTATGTGTTTTTGAGGGTTTTTTTGTTGTTGTTGTTGTTTTCGGCTGCATTTGAGGACTGCAGCCAACTCTATGGCTGAAGGTTACCAAGCGGGAGTAGCCAGGCTGGCTTTTTTTGTTTTTGTTTGTTTGTTTTCTTTTGCTTGGTCGTTACTGTTATTGTTCTTTTTATATATGTGACGATGATGATGACGATGATGATGATGATGATGATGGTGATGATGATAATGATGATGATGCTCTTGTTGTCAGGGGCACCCAACGGATCGTCTCGGTATATTATCTGTTCGTAAAGTCTTTAATCCCCTCTGATTTTCTTAAGAGAATTGTCACCTCGAACTTTCGTGGTATGAGAAATTTAATGTCCGTTGTTTTCGGATTGTTAAAAATGTCGTTTTGGGTACCGAAAAAGGGTCAGCTATCATTTTCGGACAGGCGATAAGACATAAGGTTTTCGGGAAATGGACAAAAAAGCTCTAATAAATTCGAGAATGCTCAAGTTCTCCTAGAATAACCGAACAGATAAAGTTTTTTTAGCGCAACCTAAAATTAACCTACAGAGCTTTAAAAGTACACCAGATAGCCTAAAACAGCGTTTAAAAGCATTCGAGAGAAAACGGTCGTTGGGTGCCCCTGTTGTTGTGTTTGTTGTTATTGTTGTTGCTGCTTTTTGTTTCTTCGTTTTAGTTCGTTTTAGTTCGTTTTTATTTTTATTTGCAAAAAAAACAACAACAACAACAACAACAACGACATCAACAATAACAACAAAAACACATAAATTGAAAGCTATAGCATCATTTCCAGTTTTTGTTGTTGTTGCTGTTGTTTCAGGCTTTGTTCGTCTTTTTTGATCTCGTACTGGATGGCCACGAAAACTGGTAAAGTCATGATGAAGAAAAACACGTGAAACATCAAACGTCTCGACAAAAGTAATGTTTGTGTTGACGAAGAAATCGCTTCGGTTCCTAAAGTACGTATGCTTCGCATTTAGTTTGATTTGAATACCAAAAACGTACTTTCATGACCCAGTTAATGGCGTACTGTTTGCTCAAGATGCAGTAGGTTTACTTATAAAGTTTAATTACAATTTCTTTGGCTTGATTTGTTGGTTATTTCATAACAAAACTATGCTTTTAAATTGACTATTTTACCCGTCAATTAGGAAATGTACCACTTAGAATCGAAAGAATTCTTGACGTTGATTTTGTTTTTCTAAAGATAAATGTTATGGGCTTCTTCCTTGATTTCTGCGAATTCAGTGACATGTGCAAACAAAGAAACCGCATCAAACTTTGGAAAATTAAAATGTTTACGCAATCAGGCACATCTTGTAGACTCTACAGATGCAGATTTAATTCTTGGGCAACAATTAAATAATAGCAAACTATGGCTGCTTTGTATAGATTCTTCATGGAAAGGCAGAATAAAAGAATCCAGTTCACGAGAACAGTATGATAAGTCAATTTTACCCACTGACCCTTCCTTCCATCGACAATGGAAAAATTAATCGATAAACGTGTCAGTTGTTACAGATATGTTTTGACAGATGGCTAGTAGAATATAAAAGAAATTTACCAGGTTTTACCTTTCCATACTGGGTTACAATATTCACAATAAATTGAACGCGAACTTACGTAAAAATCGATGTATTGTTGAAAGGTGCATCTATCTCTTCGTACGAGAACACCAACTGTTTGTTCGTCTTTAATTCCGTTTTTATGGAGATAGCACGTTCCCTTAGTTTCGTTCCAAGACCCGACACAGTACGTTTGTGCTATGCAGTCGTTTTCGGACAAACAGGCAAAGCCACATTGAACTTCCTCTGAAGTTATCACCTTTTTCAAAATATCTGTTTCAAGCGCGAAGTTGCGGTGAAAGAAGACGGCCCCATCAAAGAATCTACTGTTCTCTCCACGTTTCCAACATAACGCTTGCAGAAAATATCCTACAAAAGCGAAAGACAGCACGAAGACAGCCGCAGCTTTGGTAACCATTTTTCACATGTAAAAAGGAAATTAAAAAAGAAGATGCGCTGTTTACACAATGCTTTGATCTTGAATAAATCGTGAGATTCCCGTCTCAACTCAACAGTTTATTCTGTAAACTAATGTTTACATAGTTTTGAGTTATAAGTTTTGTTATTATTTTAAGAGCATTTTGGATAGGCGTAAGACGGAATTACGTTTTGTCGGGACTTTTTACTTTGCTGGCATCCGGCAGAAAGTCGATCATTTGGTTTATATCTACGTGTGCTTTACTAGATCCATTATTTGTTAAATATTGTTATTTAGATCCATTTCGGATTTAACACCTTTATGCACGTTTAAGTGTTTGCTCTGCTTTATTATAGGTTGCTAGATAAGTGTACAAGTCTGATCCATCAAAACACATTTGATTTTGCGCAGTAATGGATGCGCTTAGAAATAAACTGAATTTGAAGCGCGGATCATCTTGATACTAGTAACACCTCGCTATTGTGTGCATTGAATGAGAAATAAAATTAGTGTCCGTCATCCATGCAGAACACATCTTTTCCCCGATAAATATATTTACGGACTGAACCGGACATTTTCTTTGCTTTTAAATTGTGGGTACATTGTCTCCCTGTGCCGCGTTTATGTCTGATTCTCTCAGTCAGACAGCCCGTGGAAACAAGAGGGTCCTAAGAGGGAGAACAGGTGTATATATCCCATTTCCCTGGGCAAATTTTTGCCCAAAACCCATTTCTCCACCTCCTTTCTACCCAAATCCTGGTCCCATTCGCACCTTTTGTTCGTGAGTCCCAGTCCCAGTGACCCAAATTCTACTTTCCCAGTGAAACAAAACAGGCAGTTACAGTTACCCCTTCAGGCCAATCAAACAAGTACCAGTTTATGGGTAATTCCGGTCTACAAAACCGGACTGATCACAGCATTTTCCAAGAGACGTTGCTTAGCAACTGATTGGGTAAATGAAAACCTTGGGTAAAACTGGAGTGTTCGCACTATTTTTTTTAGAAAATTGGAAATTTTACGACGGTTTTCCCATGCCTTGCCAAAAAAAAAAAAACTGACTGAGATGAGCACTAAGTCTCCTCGTTAATTAAACAACCCTCCACTTCTAACTGCATGACTTTCGCTGTCTCATATTGGGAAGGTATTCGATGCACTTCTTTTTATTGATGCATATGGCCACGTCTATAGCATTAAGACGCTTGCAGCACGTTTTGCGGGGTAAAACTGCGAGCTAAGCCTGCCAAGTACCCACGCCCCACATGTCTGCCAACTTGTAATATTCCCACAGCTATCGATTGGCTCTTCACTCGTTTCCAGGACTTTAAAGGCGCCATTACAGTAAAGAAAGAGGGCCCGGGAGTAACTCCGCGCGCTGACTATTTCCTGAGGCTGAAGGTGATTGCTTGCTGTTCATTGGCTTGTCTATTAAATGAATCGGGACGAGCTGTCAACAATAAACAAACATTGATATCACAGTTGATGTCCATCGTAAACATCACGTATTATAGTTTGGGATGCTGGCAAAGGAATATAATATCGCGATGTTATGAAGACGTCTTTGATATTATTATTATTATTTTAAATATCTCTTAAAAATTTTATACTTTTTACTCTGTGATCCACTGTATTCACTAGAAAGCAGTTCAACAAGGTTTCTTCATTTTTAAAGGCGTGTCATGTATAATTCATTGCGTGACAGATTATATCATTACATATTAATTGTAAAATAGTTTTTTTAAAGACTAAATGATTTTATTATGATTTCACATGTCCTTACCTGTTCTCGCCATGATGTGCGATTCTACCTTTTCTCACTTTTCCGCGGTAAGTAACAATGTTTGTACTAGAGCAGCTGAGTGTCAAGAAACCGAAATGTGTGTACATTTTGAAATTTCGATAAAAGCTAATAGACAACCATGTTAAGTAAGTGCCAATCACTTTCATGAATTGCCACTTTGAGTTAAGACTCGTTCGAGATGACCTTTCTTGGTCTCATTTTTCTTCTTTTCACTGCCATTCGAAACTCTTGGAGCTCAGAACAGCGCCACATACTCGGTGCACTCAAGACAGTCTCGCATCATAAATTAGAAGGTCACCAAATTAAGACCCTGAAAGGATCTACGCTTTTATCATGTGCCCAGTCGTGCCTTACAGAACCCAAATGCGTGTCCACGAACTTTGGAGTCTCTCCTGTGGAGAATAAGCTTGTCTGCGAACTAAACGATCACAGGGTTTCGTTGATGTCCAATGATGAGTTGCTATACGGAGAAGGATTTGTATTTTCCCTCTATTCTGAGACGTTTCAAACTTCTGGCAATGACATGAAGGTAGGGAACATTCTATTTACCTTAACGTTCATTTTTGTTGATGAACTGAAAACAAAAGAAAAGCCTTTAGAGCTAAAATTTGCTTGCTATTGTATGAAAATATCTGGCTCTTTATATGCAAAAAGCATGTCATTTTATTGGTAAGTACTGAATAAAGTACGACCTGTAATGTTTCTGTTGCGTTCCGGTGATTACTTTGAAAATATCATCTTTGCTGCTGTTTTGTTTCCAGAGTGGATGTAGGCACATAACTTGTCTCAACGAAGGCCATTGCTATTTTAACGAGGATAAACAGCAGTTTCAGTGCAAATGCATTCTTCCATGGATAGGAAACAGTTGTGAGACAAAAACAGGTACAGTTCAGTTCCTTTAAATAGCAGTTCTTCCTTTTAATCAGCATATTCCCAGTTTTCTTGAGTAGAATTCCAAAATTAGTAATTCTCTTCGCTCTTTTCTTATTTTGGATAAATTTTACGTCAATTTACGCAATTTTCTGACTTAAAATGGTGAGTAACAAGACGGTGGATATACGATCGCGAATTTATTGAAGTCATTTGGCTTTAGATAGGGAACAAAATTCTTATCTTACAAGATAAACTGAGAGTTGTCTACCATGCATATGAGCGTTTCTACTTTCCCGTGTCTTAACAGAACGAAAAAACGAAAACCGAAAGGAGGTTACATGCACCCAGCCCCTAACCTAAGATCAACGCTTTTTTTAAGAGACTGATTAGTCTAAAAATAAGTAGCTACGCATTTGTGTCTTGACATTCCATTTAAAATACGATTTACCTTTTTATAGCATCCGATTTATTTTGCCTTCAGGAAGATATATAATTGCAATGGTAATTTCAACATCTGTTAGTGATTTTTTTTCATTTCTATCCCCTAGATATTTATTTCCACTTTACTACTCTTGGTGCGATCGGTAGGTTCGGGCCTAGCAACAACCTGCGGTACCAAGGCACGTCATTGGAAGGAATTTTGGTACAAGACGGCTTGCAAGCATGGAACGTCCCTGTGACGGCTCAGTATCACCTTGAATTGTGTGGCGCTTCAGGGGCAGGACACAGCGCCTTTGATACCAAAGGTGGTAGAGGAGCTAAGGTGCAAGGAAATGTCCATCTTCAGCAAGGAACAGAGTTGACAGTTTTGGTGGGACAACACGGAAAAGGAGGAGGTGGTGGCGGCGGCACATTCATTGTATTTACGGTAGATGGCAGCCCACTGGCTGTAGCCGGAGGCGGGGGCTCAGCTGATTATGTTGATGGTGATCATGGGCAAGCCGGGTATAGTGGTAGCGTACATTCTGGGCAGCCAGGGAAGGGAGGAAAGGTGTGTGTATCGAAGGCGTCCTTCGATACCTTATTCGGGATTGGGGGTGGAGGAGGTCTCGTCACGGATGGTCGCTGCTATGCTGGTTCCAGCTGTGACAAGCCATGCATTGAGAATGATGGGGGCAAATCGTTCAACGCAGGGGGACAAGGAGGGTACAGCACAAAAAAGAAGAGTCGATGTGCTGGCGGATTTGGTGGTGGTGGAAATTGTGGGGGAGGTGGAGGATACTCTGGTGGTGGTGTTCAAGTCAATGGTAAGAGTCTTGCTTTTCACGCCGGAGGGGGAGGGTCATTTGTCCCTCATGCTAATTGGACGGTTGTGTCTGGAGGTTGTTCCTCTGAAGACGGTTTTGCTACGTTTCAGATAGTGGCACTGGATTGATGATCATGTGATATTGATTGACATATAGTGTTGATTGACAGTAACGTAACGTTAGCTAGTGATTGTTAAGACTTTGAGACAAATTTAGTAACCGAATGATACAGCCTAAATGACGAAACTGTCTTACTCCATCGCCGAAATCTCAAACTGCCGCCGATAGATTTTTGTTTATTTACCAATGTTGTTCATCAAATGTTATCGAAATCAGATAATAGCAAGATACTATTTTCAACAGGACATTGTGATTAAAATTAGAACCATGTAATACAGCGCAATAGGCAATGTTCAAAAGTGGTAAAGCTAATTAAGGAAAACGGGATTTTTTTTCTGTGAGCAATGAAAAGCAGACGCTTTTTCAGAGTGTTTGCTTTGATATGTCTGATGACTTTAATATTAAACAAATCATAATTGAAACGCCTCTTCGCCCGATTTCTCCCTGTTGTTTATTTTATATATTTCCACTGTTTACCTCAGTGACAAAATAAAAAAATAAAATGAATGAAACGCGAACGATGAAGTTTCGCGATCTGGGCTTAGGTTACTTGGCACCACCAGTAAAATCAGATTAAGGGGTTGGGTGGGTGGATTCGTTAAATGCAGTGTTTTTCAATTTTTTTTTTTTTCTTTTTCAGCATTATTCTACCGTATTTCTTTACTATTCAGAGTAAGTTGCCGAATTTTTGAATGATTCGGTTATAGAGCGATTCATGCTAAAATTATTAATGCTCACACGTCAACATGATATGATGACGTTATGTGACGTGAAACATAGCGTCGGAAGAGCTTCCATCTTGGATTCCTTGGTTTTCCGTCACGACAGAATCTACTGCAACGATGTACATTTGTAAAAATGTTACAGGAAATATATATATATATAAAAAATAAATTTTAAAAGAAATAAAGAAAAAATTTGAAATAATTTCTGTCATATTATTGTTACCACGGAGGCATTAAATTAAGTTAACAATCGTTATGCGTCTGTGTTGTTCCAAATTTTTCTCAAATAACCTGATAAATTCACCCCATTCACTTCAATATTGTGTACAAAGTCTTAACTGGGGAGGGGATTCAACAAAAGGGAATGTTTACTGGAACGAACGAAGATGAATTATGGAATCACTTCGGTAAACGCTATCAAGTGAAAGGTCTTCAGTGAAAGAGCCTCATGTTTAAGAAATTGTGCTCTGCAAGTGCAGCTCATCGAGCAAGTCGAATATGGATGTGACAAAGACAAGATTCTGGTGTATTTTGTCTAAGTTCGTACCAACTGTCATCTTAACACTCATTAGTTATAGACATGTGTGGGCTTGTTGGTCCTTCCTAAATCCTTGAATGGACATTTGACAGATTAAATCAGTGCTGTGTGTGAATAATAGACCTTTTTAACTCGGGCGGTTTGTTGCCCCATTTCAGACCATGTAATGATTTCTCTTGAGAATCATAAATTTTCAAATAGCTGCGTCTATATGAATGAATAATTTTAAGATGGATAAAAGAACTATTCTCTAGAGAATGTCCCGTGGTCTGTTATGAGAAAACAAACTGCCCAAGCTGAAAAGGTCTATTCAGAATCTTAATAGAAATAACTCAACTCTCACAGAACAAAAAGTTATTTATGAAGATTATTATGTTCAATAATAAATCTTTTGATTGCCATAGCAACGTCAGGCCTCGTGACCCAAACAACTGAATCAACACACGACATTTCAAACAATGTAAAACCCCTAATTTGGCCATTAGTGTATATAATGATTGATTCTATTTCTTGAATGCTATCGGGACGCGCATTTTGTACGACTACAAGCCGTTCCCTCACGGCTTTACGTTCACAGCAGAAGGGATTAACGACTTTTAACTTTTATGTACTGTTTAAAAACAACTTAGATATTCAAGCCGCCCTTTCGATGACTAATATCAAACAAAGACTTCAAAGAGTCAATTAACTTCCGATGCGCAACTGCGGTTTTTCAGGCATCTTGGGTTAAGGTATTAAAACAGTGACTGATATTAAACAAAGACTTCAAAGAGTCAATTAACTTTTGATGTACAACTGCGGTTTTTCAGGCATCCTTGGGTCAAGGTATTAAAACAGTTTATAAAAGAGCCTAAGAAACAATGTTCTCTCTGCCTAAGATGGTCAGATCGTTTAGAATTGGTCTGACAGGAAATTACAACACTATCTAAGCTGCAGTTGGTCAGTTCGTCTTTATTCTGTCGAGAAATTAAGTGCTAAGGGGCGGAGAAACGTGTTCATTATAGCGAAGGCTCGTTATAATTATGGGCTTTTTTTCTAAACAATTTCTGCCTGAATGATGAAATGGTTATAAAGGGTTTGTTATTCACTGAATAAGTAAATCACGTCCTTCTCAGAAATTGTCCGTCGGATAAATTGTTATTAGCCAAGAAATTTTTAATAGTTGGGATTGAGAATTAAATTTTTATTAGTGGAAAATGGACGCCTTTTTAAAAATGCCCGACAAACGATCTGCCGTGACAACCTTAATTACTAACGGACAGTCGTTGCATGAAATAATAAAATTCAGACAGCAACATCGGAACATTCTAACTTACGATGCTGCAGTCTTGAAGTAAAGCCGGTTCAGAAAGCAGACATGGGTTGCATAATTTATTTTTAATGCCCCGATTCCCTAACCCTCTCACCGAGTCTGATTTGTGTACGGAGTCGTTAGAAATAAATTATTCTCAACGCTTGAATATCATTAAGCAATGATTGTCATGAACCACTTAGCCGGTTGATGCCTTCAGAGCTCCACCGGGTTTCCACATCACTTGCCCCAACGACCTTCTTGTAAGAAACAATGCAAGTAGAGTCAGTCAAAGCCGCAACTCGTGTATTTGTTCCACCCAAGAAAACTCCTTTTTTAACTCGTTGCAGCGGCACCTGACTTAACGAGTTTCTATTCAACAATTAGATTATGAGCTCGAGATTTCCATCGCGTAATAGTTGACTAATTGGCGTAGCCCGAGTCAGCTATCACGCATAGAAATCGAAAGCTATTAATCTTGATGTTTTACTGATAAATCTAAATTTCGACTGGTAAATTATCCAATTTCTCTTCACAGACACTTCTAAAACGCAAAGAAGCAGTCGCCATTTTGATAAAAACCGCTCACTAGTGGGCTACTCACTATCTAAACAGACGGCGTAGCCAATAAGAGAACGGCATAAGTGATAGAACGCTGTAGATTTATACCTATTCAGTACAGCATTATGGTTTTACAATAAATTCGAGCTATTGCCTTAAGCTGATTAGCCATGCGTATCCCACAGGCCGCAGAACGAAAGAAGCTCAATGATAAACCCGTGGATTACGTGCTCAATTCCTAACACTTACATGTACACAACATAGTTTCTATGACAACAGCATGGCTAGAAACATTGACAACAGCCTCGTTCCAAGGGTCTCTTCCTAGACCTTAGGAACGAGGTTGTGTTGCTAAGAGGACAGTTTTTCCTTGCTGACAAAACCGTTTTTCGTGGCCAAATTTCTGCTGTACGTGGAGAACGTGATTTCCGTTCACGATTTTTTAGCAGTTCCCTTGCATGCGACGGCGTTTCAAGTAGTAATGACGAAGGGAGGACAAAGTGCACGTTCATTGGTCAGGAAATTGCCTCTTTCCTCACGCAAAAATGACGCAATTCCGTTCAATTTTTTTTTCCGACACAGCAAAGGATTAGATTAAATAATGCATGTGGGTTTTGCGAGCACATGGCGATTATTATTTGTTTTTCAGTGGAACTCTGCAGACAAGGAAGGAAACGGAGAACACACTAAGGAGTTGTGTTAAACAAGAACATGATGATGGGTACTTAGTGCCTCTGAACGAAAATATACAAAGTAACACTCTCTCAAGTAAAGCTGTCTCATTGGATTCATATATTCCTGTACCACTGTCTTACCAAGGGCCGATTTACACGTTACGGCTTTGTCTCTTTTGATAAGGTTACGACAGGCTAACGACATGACTTAGGACCGTTTACACGTGCACGACACTTTCACTTACCAAATTAAATATTCAAAAGTTTGCACCGGGATTTTCGGAGCGAAAGTTCTAACAAACGGTAAAATAATTTTTCAGCTGTCCCGTGCTTTGAACAAACGTTCTAAAGAGACACGTTTCGCTTGAATCCGTTGAGTATTTTTCGAGAAACGACTTCATGTGAATCAGTCAACAACAACTTTGTCCGCCATTTTGACGCAAGAAAACTTCACCTTCGTCCCTTACTCAGTAGAAATTTGTCACAAATGCGTCATTCTGTATTAATTTTTAAAACATGGTTTAAAATCTTACGACAATTTTTGTGATGTACACAGCAGTCGCAAGTGAGTTGTAGGTTTCATTTCCGCTAAACAATTCACGTCATAGGCATGTCGTACGCTTGTCGCATGCAACAAAGTCGTGCCGTGTAAATCGGCCCTAAGAATACCAGGTCGTCTTTCGCGCTACCAACTGCAATCCGCGGCTAGCTCTTTCTTTCTTTTCACTCTACTGTCAGTATGCTCGAAGCTACTGATATAGTTGGGCTATTAACATTAATCGTGGTCAAGGTTTTAACGTCGTCGTCTGTTTAAACTTAAGAAAAGGCATTCGACGCAGTTTATCACAGTATTTTGTTGTCCAAGTTACAGATGGTTAGCTTCTTACTTAGGTATCGTTCTCAATTCAAACTTGTCTCATGAACTGCCTCAATCATGAGTCATGCTCAAGGTTTATAAAATGCGGTGTCCCTCGTGGAGCAATTCCAGGCTACCGAGAAGTTTAGATGTTGTAAAATTCATTTGTTATGAAACACGTGTGTGAACTTGTCGTTCCATCCTAAATGGACATACGACAGATCTCATCATTAGTGTGTCAGAAAAATTCAGGTTCTAAAAGAACTACATACATACTTCATACTACATACATACTCTATTTATACTTTATACAAGAAAGCAGAAAGTTATTTTTAAAGTTTAAATTTCGATAGCCATCCTTTAGAAAAATGATTTTCATAGCAACATCAAGTCTCTTGACCCAATCAACACACCAAGCGATGGACGTGGTAATGACATGACGCCGTCTTATTTGTTAAGCCTGAGTTCTTTCAAATGATCACTTGAACATTCATTAGTTATCACGTGTGGGCTTGTTGTTCCATCCTAAATGGACACTAGACAGATCATATTGTTAGTGTGTCAGAAAAATTCAGGCTCTAAAAGGAATAAGAAAGCAGAAAGTTATTTTTAAAGATTATTAAATTTCGATAAAACATGTTTTGATGCGTTACTGCGGTTTTCCAGGCATCTTTATAATGCAGTTAAAATCGCTTGGGGTACTTTTAATTTAATCCCAGCAGTTTGGGTCGACAAATTAAAACAGTTCATAAAAGAGTCTAAGAAACGCTTGTTCTCTCTACCTAAGATGGTCAGGTCGTTTTTAAACAGTTTGCCAGGAAATTACAACAGTTTTAAACATCTTAGCTGCAGCTGATCACTTCGTCTTCAATCGGTTGAGAAATTAAGTGCTAAGGGGCGGAGAAACTTTTTCATTGTTAAGTAGCGGATCGGAGGTTCGTTATATGAGCTTCACTTAATAAATAAATAATAAATAATCTAGGTATTTTCGGAATGAATGATTTAATTTTATAAAGGGGTTTGTTGTACCGTAATTCCACTGAATAGGTAGATCACGCCGTTTCTAACTCGGTTGAGAAATTGTCATCGGCCCGGCCGGTCGGTTGATTGTGAACTTTTGTGAGTCAAAAATTAACGCCTTTCAATGAGTTGTCGACAAACGGTCTGCTCTCTCACGACGCTGTATTAGTAATGACAGCCGTTGGCTGGAATGATTAATTGAATTCAGATAACGACATCCGGACCATTCTAACCTACGATGCGACAAGCTTTAAAGTTTAGACAGTACACACGAGTTGTATGATGGCCCGATTCCCCGAGCTCCGTTTGTGCACTGCCCCGTGCTCACTTTTTGAATGACATCGAGCAAAGAATGCCAAGAGCTACTTAGCCGGCAGATGCCTTTAGGACTTCGGTTTCCACATCAGTTGCTACCAAACCCTCCTGTAAGAATGAATGCAATGAATAAGCTAAGTTAAAAACGCAGCTCGCCTATTAATTTTTTTGCACCTATGAAAACGCCTTCGTTCTTTTACGATTCGTTCCTATTTCAGTGTAGCACTATGTTGTTGCATAACGTAGACCTATTGCCTTGGGTTGATTAACCATGCATATCCCACAGAACTCAGAACAAAAAAGTACATGACGATAAAGGGAAAAACGTGTAAGGTCAAGACCAAACGTGTAGATTGTGTGCTCGCTTCCCAACAGTTATATAACCATAGCATTGTTTCCATGTCAACAACATGAACTGCATGAAACGTTGTCAAAAGGACAATTTTTTTCGTGCTAACAAAACCTTTTCTCCTGGCCAAACATCTGTGATTTCTGATCATTTTTGTAGAGGTTTCCTTGCAGACGACGGAGTTTCAAACAGTTATGACGAAACAAAAGCAGTGTCTTTTGATTTTTCAAGTCATTTTCATTTTCCTTATTCCACGTGACGAAGTTCCGTTCAATTTTACCGGCACGACAGAGGATTACGTCATACTTAATGAAGCGTTGTGCAAGCAGTTAGTCCTTAGTTCTGCTGAACTTAAAACGGATTGCGATTATTTGTTTTTTGGTGGAATTCTACATAAAAAGGATGAAAAGAAGAAAAAATTCCAAGGAATTCTGACACAAGAGCAGGCTAATGAGAAACCAGTGCCTCTTAAAGAAAATACACAAATCAACAGCTACCTTATTGAATTAGTCTTATCGTTGTGTGTTCAAACGAGAACGAGAGGTAATAAACTCTGTGAACTACCCTTGCATCACTCACTTCCGTGCATCCAGATTGTAAAGTCAGTCTTTCAATCCTCAGAATGGAAACACGTTCATTTCTAAGATTCTGGTAACATTATATTTGCCCCTGTTCGGGTCTGCTTGTATAAAATGTACCCCCTTACTCATTTGCTTCACTGTACTCACAAGTAAGACAATTTTTAGAAACCGTCGACTTAAGCGATCGCTGAACAGAAATTCTGCACTGATTAAATTGCAAGCGACCACTCGTCATTCCCCAGCACGAATCCTATATGTGTCTTCATTTATTAGAAGACGTCCTAGCCTCTTTGAGCTCAGTCCAATTGCAAATTATTGATATTGACCGGACAATTGCTAAGTCCCAGAGACATACGCGATCAATAATTAAATAGCATTTTTTAAAACACGATTAACAATGAATTTGTAATACTCTACTGAGGGGCTTTTAGCTACCAAAGATTACAAAAGAAGGATAACCAATTTGAGATTAACATATTCAGTGTGCAGTGACTCGTTTACTACACGTTTTCTAAAACGGTTGAGTAAGATCTTTTGCATGTATAGATTTCTGTATTGAAAAGGCATGAATTTTACTATCATAAATATCAGTCTTAAAAGGAAGAATAAGAGAATTTATAATAAGTTTTTGATTTCAGAGTAAGTGAACGTGAACACCGGGCTAGTAAGTTTGCGTGCCGTTGAAAAATAGTATGTCAAACCGACACTAAAGGTGTTTAATGGCTTCCACGGTTAGCCTTGCTCGCTTCTCAAGTCAGTGCATTAGTATGGGGAATCTACCTTGGTCAATTCCAAACTGGAATTTGGTAGATTTATCGTTTTTTGGTTTGCTATCGAGAGTATTAATATGAACATGACGCAAAACTCAAAAACTAGCTTACATGTATTTGAATGTAGTAATCCCGATTGACGTCCCTCGATAGAAACAACGCCGTAAAAAGGTTTTATAAATTATAATGAGCTTTTCATGAAGGGAAAGACTTACAATGGAACTGAGATCTACTGAAAACAAATACTGTCATCAGCGGTTCGCGTCGTAAAGTAATATTTTGAATAAATTGGCTCAGTAATTGATATGAATAGTTTGCCAAAATGACTGCGTTTTCACCATAAAAACACACTCACTAGGCCAAGTTAGCCGGATGTGAATGGGGATGAAGAACTTTTTTCCATGAGTCGAATCATTTGTTTACAAATCGTGGGGTACAAACAGGAGTATTCTCTAAATTGACATGCGACAATATTTATTTTAATTAAAGTAGTATTTATAAATTAGATTCTCAGTTCTCAAGTGTATTTACTTGTATCTCAGTATATATCGGCTAGTCTGGTGTCTTCCGCTGTGGAAAAGTAATTTCATGGGACTTTGTGTGTAAGATTAACTGGACAGTAAGTTAAATTCTATGGGTAACTTAACGCGGAACATTTCGTTTTATTTTGATTTGCACGGGTCTCACGTTTCACATAATGTAACTAGGTGATGAAAAGGAGACGTGATGTTTAGAAGCGGTTGCTATGGTTATTCTGACGTGGAAGACAAAATTGAAAGGCAGAAGAATCATCTTTACTCGTATATATCACCTCTTCGCATCGGAGTGTGTTCGTGAGCGGAAACGGCAACATCGTATACTATATTTTTTTCTGACATATCCTAAGCAGTTTTCATTTTTGAAGTTAGCATTTTCTATCTATCTATTTTCTGGCTTAATAAGTTTAATAGTACATCGAGCTAAAGCTGTTGGAAGGTTTATTCAAACACGCAGCAATGGCCAAAGTTTATTTCATCGCGACATTAATGATTCTACAAGGATTTTTCTTGTATGGTAAGTGGAACGTTTTAGTAGTGATTTTTATGGTTTAATTTTGAAAATCCATTGGTAAGAACATGGGCGTGAAAATTTGGGGAAATAACACACAAGATTAAACCATGACGAAACCGAAACGCTCAGCGAAAGGACAACAGGTGAAAACAATCTCGGATGACACCATTCTGCTAGTTGAAGACTAACTTTAGCATTCTGCAGCACTGAGACAAGTACACATGCGGACTTAGTTTTCTTTGATTTGCCATTCCCTTCTTGAATGGCTGACACACCATGATACCAAACAATATTTACTACAGCAGTTATCAACATTGTGTAAGTTGTACAAAACGTAGCAGGCCACATACAGGTGTACGATAGTCGTCTATTTGGCCCAGGAAACATACAATATAGCAATCGGATCATTTCGAGCAAGCGTGCAACATCTAATCAAGCAATCTCGCTAACCAAAATCGAAGCAGTTGCCCATTCTGCTCGCATCAAAGTTACAGCTTTGTAAAACAAACACTCGATTTTCTTGGTCGTATCATCGATAGGACAAAATTAAAGTCGACGACTATAAATCTGTTCCTTGAAAGTGCTCTCTGTATTTCTGCAGTCTAATTATATCGGAAGTCGATATTTTGTATGGTCCACGAAAATCGTGCCCGATTAATATGTTCCGAAAAATCACAAACAAAATTTTATGACCTGATTTTTTATATTAGTGTTTTTTTGAAGAATGTCGAACAATACCTAATTGATCTGACGAAATTTTATCATCTTCACTGTCAAGCTGGCTTACGAAACATTGCAAAATAAAGAGTCGCAGATTCCCTTGTCGAAATGGAAAGACTGTTTCCATAACAACTAGAGAAAACTCAATGTTTACTTTGGTTTACACGCGGTTACTAAGGAAAAATTAACAAAATGCCTTCTTCAACTGAACGCGCTCCTTCGGTTTACAAAAGAGACAATACGTTATTTATTCACACAAGAACAAAGCAACAACAATATCATAGCCTCAAGGTCTGTTAAGTTTATCATATAGGAGCCCGGCTTTTTAGGTGAATTTTTGCAATCTAATACCGTACCGAATACAGAGATTCCCTTTTCTTTCTGCTCCTCAAGAGACGAGAGGAACCTCTGCTCGTATCCTGTCGATCGTTTGAGCCGCAGTCCACAATCAAAAACGACTAAATTAAAAATACTGGCTTCTGGCAAGGTTTAACCGGTTTTAACGATGCGCATGACAGAAAGGATTCAATTTTTGTTTGCGAGACTGTTGATAAAATCCGCTGCCTTCTGATTAGTTACAAAATTGAAATTGGCAACGTTGCATGGCTAAAATGGCTTCGTAATCCATTAAAATTCAAATATTTGGCCGATGAATAACTGGCGATCTTTGATTTTTACTTTTTACAGAGTTCCAGCAACTACTATTGCCGTGTGTGTTCAAAGACACGTTATTAAGTTTTTAATTATTCCAGAACAGTTCGTTTCTCTGTAGCAAGCATGCGTAAACGTTTCGCATGACAAAGCAAACTGCTCACGTTCATCAAGAGAAATAGGAAATCTAACGGCTATGAATCACCGAGCAGAGAGGGAATGTTAGTCTCACACGGTAACAATCTAAAAGATAAGTGTCGTTAAACAAGTACATTAAAGAAACCTAGAGCAAGATTCTCAAATCTGATTGGTCATTGACCATAGGTATAACAGCGCCTGTCGGGGCACGGCAAAATCTTTTACACGCCTCATTTTCACGCGCTGCGGAGAATGTTCATTGACGCTGATTGTATTCACTGGTAATGAAATATCCCTAATAGAGCGCTTTCTGATGACGTCACGGCAACCATATTGGTGTTCCGAAACGATGAAGCGCCGGCCGTGTTTTTTCATGCAAATAATTTCTTTTGAGGCAAAAAATTTGCATATATAGCTGCTACTCACGTGCTATACGCGAAAAGCATTTTGATGAGCAACGAATAATAAAAATTAGGGGGGATAAACAACTTCTCTAGAACATCTTGACTTCATTCTCAATTTTAAATAACAAATCGTTAAGACCGATGCAGACACTGAATACACGGAATATTAACAATGTTTTTTCAATAATTGCGTTGTTCGGACCTTGTAAAAGTAAAAGCGCAACTCATAACAATTGCGATTGTAGGAAGATTGAACGCTTTAAAGTTTAGTTTTCACCTTTTCAATCTCTTCAACGCTTATGCTTATGTCGCGGCCCTCGCCACCAGCGCAGAAGCTTCTTATGGGACCGGGATTATTCTTATGCTTATGCTTATGGTTTCACTTCGATTCGGTACATGACATTTAACACGTGCATGTGCTAACCGTCGAAAAGTTTGTGCTCCATACGGCTGCCGAATTCTCTGTGAGGACGGCAGAAATAATGTAGCATTCTTCATCGGCAAAATTCGACTTCGTTACCCGATAAAACGGGTAATTTTAGCTACTGCTCGAGGATTTGCAACCAACAAATCGACACAGAGTTATCAGACGAATTTCTTCAGGATAACGAGACTGAAACATCGGTGAGTGGAAAAGCGGAATATTTACTCGCTATAGGCGAAGACAAAAAAAGTAAGCATATTGGAGTGACCTTCTCCTTAAAAACAGATTCTCATTACCGGTGCACGAGAAATAAATGAAGGCGAATAAGGACAATACACGTGTCGCTAATGAGTTTATCAATGCCGTGATGAGCAAAGATCCTGCGCGACCTTAACAACAGTCATACTCAATTCTTGCCAAAGTATTTCAAGCATTTGTTTTACTTGCATGGGCCAGAAACTCAACAACTGATCGACTGTGAGCATTTAAATATTCGGCGTGTGGTTTCACTATTATTTTTCCAGTCACACTTAAACAATAAAGTATTCAGCTCGAATCGTTCCGTATATCTTACTTGCTTGTAACAATTTCATGCAATATATTTGACGAGTCAACAACGCGCCAGGCGTTAATGCGCGCTGACATTTTGCCTTTGTAGGTATAACTCCTTTTCCTCCGCAGAAATAACTCGGCTGGAGCGTCAACTTTAAAAAACATGAACTCTAAGCCTGAGCCTGTGATATGGTCACGTGAACTGGTCAGCGAATACCTCGTTTTGACAGGTGTCAATTGACCATAGCATGGAAGTCCAATATCAAAAACGAACGCTGTAAACCAAGGCTGTATTCCTCTGTCGATCTATTAGCTGACGTGTGGCCGTCATGTTGCGCGAAGACTTTATCATAGGGAGCACGCGCCCGCGATCCACGCCGCTAGCCATGTTGACCATGGAAAAAGAGATGCAAGGTTTTCTATTTCTGTGCATGCATTTCGTTCTATTTCTATGGTTATGGTGCTCCGCTTAGCGCCCTTCGGGTTGCCGGAGCTCTGCTAAAAGTGTAGTCAACATGTCTTTGAAAAGTCGTATATTCTTGCGTCGTTTATTATTTTTTTTAATCATGACGTGTTGTATCAAAAAGAATTGGTAGACAGGTTTCACTACGTGAGGGCAGTTGTTCTTCGAGTGCAATTTAGCATTGTCCTGTGTACTAGACGGCTAAATAAAGCAACTCTTCAAACCTTTATTGTTGACTTACAGTTTCTCAAATCAATTGTTTGACATATTTTGCAACGATATCAGTGGCATAAATGTGCGCTATCCCAAAGTACCACTCTTCCTTATTGGATAGTTCATTATCCAATGGCTTACATGTTCTCTTCTAATTCATCAGTAGAGGATGGAGAATAACAAACAAATGTTGGAGTAGAAAATTGAAAAAACAAAAAAAAAAAAACCTGGTAAAAAGCTGGAAAAGGGAAACTTTACATTTCAAGCTGCCAGTTCAACAGGGAAGTCACTTGATCACTCACAATTTCATGACCACAATATAGCGATGTTGAAATTGAAGTTCTTGTTCTTTCCTTGTCAGTATTCACCCACTGGTTGCGCGTAAGAGTCAAGATGAATTATAGATCAACGTTTGTTTTAGCTTCTTTTCACATTTTCACAGACCGTTGATCTAGAACTTTCGTTGGAAGTCCGAGCACGTTCGCAGAGCATCCCACTTTTTTCAGTCAAGATTTAGCTCTTATGAATAGAGCAAGAGGTCTGTGTGGGAGAATCTTGACCGAGGTCTGTACACGCGACCAAGACAATCAGAATACAGGAAAGCCATTGTATATTCGAGGGTATTGCATCCAATCTTCTAATCACGCGCCGCGCGTATGTCGCATTCATGATTGTATACACACTCGCCTAAACGCTTGTGTGTGTACCGAGAAAATATAAGTGACTCGTGGGATATTCCACGGTATACCACGAAAGAGCGTTGCATAACTAGTAGTTATATCGGATATGTTACNAATTATAGATCAACGTTTGTTTTAACTTCTTTTCACATTTTCACAGACCGTTGATCTAGAACTTTCGTTGGAAGTCCGAGCACGTTCGCAGAGCATCTCGCTTTTTCAGTCAAGATTTAGCTCTTATGAATAGAGCAAGGGGTCTGTGTGGGAGAATCTTGACCGAGGTCGTGAGTACAGACCGAACGCGGTGAGTCCTGTACACGCGACCAAGACAATCAGAATACAGGAAAGCCGTTGTATATTCGAGGGTACTCCATCCAATCTTCTAATCACGCGCCGCGCGTATGTCGCATTCATGATTGTATACACACTCGCCTAAAGGCTCGTATGTGTACCGAGAAAATATAAGTGACTCGTGGGATATTCCACGGTATACCACGAAAGAGCGTTGCATAACTAGTAGTTATATCGGATATGTTACCACTCGCATGATTTCTCAGTTGAAGACAGCTATACGTTTGTACAGCCGAGAGAAGATGCATTAAACAACGAAACTGGAACGTCTATGCCGTCTCTTATATATGAGGCTAGATGCCTTGACATTTTGTTAGACACTTGACATTGAGGATATTTTGAGAAACAGAATCAACTGAATGGAACAAATTGTAAAGATAGACAGAGTTGAGAAGGAATTGGTTAATTACAGATGTGTAAATGTCACTGAGTGCCGTGAATTTTGAGGGGAATCTTTGTTGTTACTTTTAGAAGTCTAACTAGCCATACTAATTTACTTGTAATTTTAGGTGAGACTTCAACCTCTTTAATGAGCTCTCCTTCAGTAACTGGAAGTAATACACTAGTTACAACTGGAGAAGCCACTACAACTTTGGGAGGAACTGACACAACAGCAGCAGGCGGAGGTGGTGGAGCAACCGCCACAACAGCAATGGGAGGTGGTGGTGGTGGAACTGTTACAACAGCAGCTGGCGGAGGTGGAGGTGGAACAACCGTCACAACTGCGATGGGGGGCGGTGGTGGCGGTGGAACTGTTACAACAGCAGCAGGCGGAGGTGGTGGAGCAACCGTCACAACAGTGATGGGAGGTGGTGGTGATGGTGGTGGAACTGTTACAACAGCAGCTGGCGGAGGTGGAGGTGGAACAACCGTCACAACTGCGACGGGGGGTGGTGGTGGCGGTGGAACTGTTACAACAACAGCAGGCGGAGGTGGTGGAGCAACCGTCACAACAGCGATGGGAGGTGGTGGTGGTGGTGGAACTGTTACAACAGCAGCTGGCGGAGGTGGTGGTGGAGCGACCGTCACAACAGCAATGGGAGGAGGTGGTGCTGGAACTGTCACAACAGCAGCTGGCGGAGGTGGTGGTGGAGCGACCGTCACAACAGGAATGGGAGGAGGTGGTGGTGGAACTGTCACAACAGCAGCTGGCGGAGGTGGTGGTGGAGCGACCGTCACAACAGCAATGGGAGGAGGTGGTGCTGGAACTATTACAACAGCAGCTGGCGGAGGTGGTGGTGGAGCGACCGCCACAACAGCATCAGGAGGGGCTGGAGGTGGAGCAACCGTCACAACAGCAGCTGGAGGGGGTGTTGGAGGAGCAAACTCTACAGTAGTAGTAGGAGGAAATGTCACAACAGCAATGAGCGTTGGAGGAAGTGGAGGAACAGTCACAACAACAGTAGGCAATGGTGGAATTTCTTCTTCAACAACTACTACAACGATAGCCGTTTCAAGTGCCGGTCCTGACAACAAAAAGCCAGGTAATGCTCGTTTCCGATCGTTTTAAGATTCTCTACAGCAAACTCATTCAGTGGAAAAGGTGGAAAAGTGCAAATCGGTTTGTGGTAGAACTGTTAAGATGCTTCTCTCTTTCCCTCCCTTAAAATGGACAGTGGAAACTTTCGTTAACCAGCCTTTTCCTATATTCAGGTGCGAGACTCAAGACAATCTCATAGTGTGCCTTACTTCCAATCCTGACTAGAACAGCGCCAAATTGAATTCGAAAAAGTCAGAAAGAAGAGAGAATTTTTTGTATTAAGATCCTTATGAAATCCAAGATCTTGTTTAAAGTCGATAGCTAATGACGTCAATTTTCGGTAAAACAACCTTTTGAAATATGGTTACCGCAGAAATGTCAAGTCAAGTGACCAAACAATTGGAACAACAGACTGATGACAAAAAGATTTTAGGAAAAACCTTAGAGTTTGATCACTAAAGCTTTAAAGCTGCTTCATCAGCGCAGGCGCTGACCTCCCTCTCTCCCCCTCAGTTTTCTTTCGGCTTCAAGCGTGCAAGCGCCCACGTTTCGGGTACAGATAAGTTTAAGGTTAAGGTTAAGGTACAGATAAGGTTTGAAGGATACCGATTTCTTCTAAAAAGAAAACCTTAGCACAAAGACTAGAGGAAGCCTTCCATCTCTTCCAATTCACTGTTGTACTACTCTCCACCAACCCCCACTCCTCCGGAGAGGAGGTTGGAGGGAGTAAGATTACTCTTCCTCCCACCATCCTCCACTCCTCCGGAGACGAAGTTAAAGGGAGTAAGATTACTCTTCCTCCCAAAATCCTCCTCTCCTCTGCAGAAGAGGTTGGAAGGAGTAAGATTACTCTTCCTCCCACCATCCTTCACTCCTCCGGAGGAGGTTGGAGGGAGTAAGATTACTCTTTCTCCCACAATCCTCCACTCTTCCGGAGAGGAGGTTAGAGGGAGTAAGATTACTCTTCCTCCCACCATCCTCCACTCCTCCGGAGAGGAGGTTGGAGAGAGCAAGATTACTGTTCCTCCCACCATCCTCCACTCCTCCGGAGAGGAGGTTGGAGGGGGTAAGATTACTCTTCCTCCCACAATCCTCTTCTCTGGAGAAGAGGTTGGAAGGAGTAAGATCACTGTTCCTCCCACCATCCTTCACTCCTCCGGAGAGAAGGTTGGAGGGAGTAAGATTACTCTTCCTCCCACAATCCTCCTCTCCTCTGGAGAAGAGGTTGGAAGGAGTAAGATCATTGTTCCTCCCAGCATCCTTCACTCCTCCGGAGAGGAGGTTGGAGGGAGTAAGATTACTCTTCCTCCCACAATCCTCCTCTCCTCTGGAGAAGAGGTTGGAAGGAGTAAGATCATTGTTCCTCCCAGCATCCTTCACTCCTCCGGAGAGGAGGTTGGAGGGAGTAAGATTACTCTTCCTCCCACAATCCTCCTCTCCTCTGGAGAAGAGGTTGGAAGGAGTAAGATCATTGTTCCTCCCAGCATCCTTCACTCCTCCGGAGAGGAGGTTGGAGGGAGTAAGATTACTCTTCCTCCCACAATCCTCCTCTCCTCTGGAGAAGAGGTTGGAAGGAGTAAGATCATTGTTCCTCCCAGCATCCTTCACTCCTCCGGAGAGGAGGTTGGAGGGAGTAAGATTACTCTTCCTCCCACAATCCTCCTCTCCTCTGGAGAAGAGGTTGGAAGGAGTAAGATCATTGTTCCTCCCAGCATCCTTCACTCCTCCGGAGAGGAGGTTGGAGGGAGTAAGATTACTCTTCCTCCCACAATCCTCCTCTCCTCTGGAGAAGAGGTTGGAAGGAGTAAGATCATTGTTCCTCCCAGCATCCTTCACTCCTCCGGAGAGGAGGTTGGAGGGAGTAAGATTACTCTTCCTCCCACAATCCTCCTCTCCTCTGGAGAAGAGGTTGGAAGGAGTAAGATCATTGTTCCTCCCAGCATCCTTCACTCCTCCGGAGAGGAGGTTGGAGGGAGTAAGATTACTCTTCCTCCCACAATCCTCCTCTCCTCTGGAGAAGAGGTTGGAAGGAGTAAGATCATTGTTCCTCCCAGCATCCTTCACTCCTCCGGAGAGGAGGTTGGAGGGAGTAAGATTACTCTTCCTCCCACAATCCTCCTCTCCTCTGGAGAAGAGGTTGGAAGGAGTAAGATCATTGTTCCTCCCAGCATCCTTCACTCCTCCGGAGAGGAGGTTGGAGGGAGTAAGATTACTCTTCCTCCCACAATCCTCCTCTCCTCTGGAGAAGAGGTTGGAAGGAGTAAGATCATTGTTCCTCCCAGCATCCTTCACTCCTCCGGAGAGGAGGTTGGAGGGAGTAAGATTACTCTTCCTCCCACAATCCTCCTCTCCTCTGGAGAAGAGGTTGGAAGGAGTAAGATCATTGTTCCTCCCAGCATCCTTCACTCCTCCGGAGAGGAGGTTGGAGGGAGTAAGATTACTCTTCCTCCCACAATCCTCCTCTCCTCTGGAGAAGAGGTTGGAAGGAGTAAGATCATTGTTCCTCCCAGCATCCTTCACTCCTCCGGAGAGGAGGTTGGAGGGAGTAAGATTACTCTTCCTCCCACAATCCTCCTCTCCTCTGGAGAAGAGGTTGGAAGGAGTAAGATCATTGTTCCTCCCAGCATCCTTCACTCCTCCGGAGAGGAGGTTGGAGGGAGTAAGATTACTCTTCCTCCCACAATCCTCCTCTCCTCTGGAGAAGAGGTTGGAAGGAGTAAGATCATTGTTCCTCCCAGCATCCTTCACTCCTCCGGAGAGGAGGTTGGAGGGAGTAAGATTACTCTTCCTCCCACAATCCTCCTCTCCTCTGGAGAAGAGGTTGGAAGGAGTAAGATCATTGTTCCTCCCAGCATCCTTCACTCCTCCGGAGAGGAGGTTGGAGGGAGTAAGATTACTCTTCCTCCCACAATCCTCCTCTCCTCTGGAGAAGAGGTTGGAAGGAGTAAGATCATTGTTCCTCCCAGCATCCTTCACTCCTCCGGAGAGGAGGTTGGAGGGAGTAAGATTACTCTTCCTCCCACAATCCTCCTCTCCTCTGGAGAAGAGGTTGGAAGGAGTAAGATCATTGTTCCTCCCAGCATCCTTCACTCCTCCGGAGAGGAGGTTGGAGGGAGTAAGATTACTCTTCCTCCCACAATCCTCCTCTCCTCTGGAGAAGAGGTTGGAAGGAGTAAGATCATTGTTCCTCCCAGCATCCTTCACTCCTCCGGAGAGGAGGTTGGAGGGAGTAAGATTACTCTTCCTCCCACAATCCTCCTCTCCTCTGGAGAAGAGGTTGGAAGGAGTAAGATCATTGTTCCTCCCAGCATCCTTCACTCCTCCGGAGAGGAGGTTGGAGGGAGTAAGATTACTCTTCCTCCCACAATCCTCCTCTCCTCTGGAGAAGAGGTTGGAAGGAGTAAGATCATTGTTCCTCCCAGCATCCTTCACTCCTCCGGAGAGGAGGTTGGAGGGAGTAAGATTACTCTTCCTCCCACAATCCTCCTCTCCTCTGGAGAAGAGGTTGGAAGGAGTAAGATCATTGTTCCTCCCAGCATCCTTCACTCCTCCGGAGAGGAGGTTGGAGGGAGTAAGATTACTCTTCCTCCCACAATCCTCCTCTCCTCTGGAGAAGAGGTTGGAAGGAGTAAGATCATTGTTCCTCCCAGCATCCTTCACTCCTCCGGAGAGGAGGTTGGAGGGAGTAAGATTACTCTTCCTCCCACAATCCTCCTCTCCTCTGGAGAAGAGGTTGGAAGGAGTAAGATCATTGTTCCTCCCAGCATCCTTCACTCCTCCGGAGAGGAGGTTGGAGGGAGTAAGATTACTCTTCCTCCCACAATCCTCCTCTCCTCTGGAGAAGAGGTTGGAAGGAGTAAGATCATTGTTCCTCCCAGCATCCTTCACTCCTCCGGAGAGGAGGTTGGAGGGAGTAAGATTACTCTTCCTCCCACAATCCTCCTCTCCTCTGGAGAAGAGGTTGGAAGGAGTAAGATCATTGTTCCTCCCAGCATCCTTCACTCCTCCGGAGAGGAGGTTGGAGGGAGTAAGATTACTCTTCCTCCCACAATCCTCCTCTCCTCTGGAGAAGAGGTTGGAAGGAGTAAGATCATTGTTCCTCCCAGCATCCTTCACTCCTCCGGAGAGGAGGTTGGAGGGAGTAAGATTACTCTTCCTCCCACAATCCTCCTCTCCTCTGGAGAAGAGGTTGGAAGGAGTAAGATCATTGTTCCTCCCAGCATCCTTCACTCCTCCGGAGAGGAGGTTGGAGGGAGTAAGATTACTCTTCCTCCCACAATCCTCCTCTCCTCTGGAGAAGAGGTTGGAAGGAGTAAGATCATTGTTCCTCCCAGCATCCTTCACTCCTCCGGAGAGGAGGTTGGAGGGAGTAAGATTACTCTTCCTCCCACAATCCTCCTCTCCTCTGGAGAAGAGGTTGGAAGGAGTAAGATCATTGTTCCTCCCAGCATCCTTCACTCCTCCGGAGAGGAGGTTGGAGGGAGTAAGATTACTCTTCCTCCCACAATCCTCCTCTCCTCTGGAGAAGAGGTTGGAAGGAGTAAGATCATTGTTCCTCCCAGCATCCTTCACTCCTCCGGAGAGGAGGTTGGAGGGAGTAAGATTACTCTTCCTCCCACAATCCTCCTCTCCTCTGGAGAAGAGGTTGGAAGGAGTAAGATCATTGTTCCTCCCAGCATCCTTCACTCCTCCGGAGAGGAGGTTGGAGGGAGTAAGATTACTCTTCCTCCCACAATCCTCCTCTCCTCTGGAGAAGAGGTTGGAAGGAGTAAGATCATTGTTCCTCCCAGCATCCTTCACTCCTCCGGAGAGGAGGTTGGAGGGAGTAAGATTACTCTTCCTCCCACAATCCTCCTCTCCTCTGGAGAAGAGGTTGGAAGGAGTAAGATCATTGTTCCTCCCAGCATCCTTCACTCCTCCGGAGAGGAGGTTGGAGGGAGTAAGATTACTCTTCCTCCCACAATCCTCCTCTCCTCTGGAGAAGAGGTTGGAAGGAGTAAGATC